GCCCTGTTCGGCGAACAGCGCTGGCGACAGGAGCCAATGGTGAAACCGAACCAGAGGCCCGCTCTCTGCCAGTGTGCATGGTGTGCAGCAGTAACCACAGGCTGAGCGACTGCTCAGAATTCAAGGCCAAGACCCCAGACGCAAGAAGCGCTGTTGCCTATGAAGAAGGTCTTTGCTTTTCATGCCTCAAGAAGGGCCACTGGAGCAGAAGCTGCAAAGTGTCTCGGCGGTGCAATGTGAAGGGATGCAAGCTCACGCACCATCCGCTTCTCCACCGCGGATCAAGTCGGTCAGGAACCGATCAGAGCAACTCGAGGAGGGATCAGTCGTCAGCAGGGACAACCACGGGAGCGCCTGAATCTTCAGCTGAAGGTAGTTCCGGGAACCAGCCGTTTGTCGCGGCCTCGGTAAAAACGGACACAGATACACTGCTACAGATTGTTGCTGTGCGGGTTCACGGGCCCCGTGGTTCGACAGACGTTCTGGCACTCCTGGATGCTGGAGCTCAGACATCACTGTGTCGTGAGGATGTTCTGGAGGAGCTGGGCGTTACCGGGGAGCGACACCCGCTCTGCATACAAAACGTGGAGACCAGTGGCACTCAGCGTCCGTCCGAGAGAGTGAAACTGAAGATCAGCCCCCTTGGCACAGGGGCAAAGAAGTGCATTAACATTCCTGAAGTGTGGTCTGTGCCAGCGCTGAATGTGACTGCGACTTCAATGACGAAGAGTCAGCTTCAGAGGTTTGAACACCTTCGTGATCTGGAGTTCCCGCAATATAATGGCGGGCAGGTGAAGCTGTTGATCGGTGCAAACGTCCTTGAAGCAGTGCTGCAACGGGAGGTGCGTGTGGGACGTCCGAATCAGCCGGCCGCTGTGAAGACAGACCTAGGATGGACCCTGACGGGCTGCGTGTCTGACATCGTGCCCAGCAGCAGGCGCCGGGTCATGTTTCTGAGACGTCAATCGAGTGAGAGCGAAGTGGAGCTGTGCGCTGCCGTCAACGAATGGTGGTCTACAGAAGCATCTGGAACAAAGTACAGTGAAACGACGTCACGATCGGAGATGGATAAGAAAGTACTCCAGATGCTGGAAAGAAACACGCCCAAAAGTGGAGAGCGATACGAGACCGGTCTGCTGTGGAAGGAGACAAGTCCTACACTTCTCAACAACAAGCGACAGGCTATTCAGCGACTACAGGCAACGGAGAGAAAGCTCGAGAAGCTTCCAGAGGTCGCAGGGAAGTATCGGGTCATCATCAACTCCTACGTCGCCGAGAGACACGTTTCGGTCGCTGCTGTCTCAGCAGACGCACTCAGAGAGCAGAATGACTTTGAGCTGGGCCAGCAGTTGCAGGAGGCCCAGCAGGAGCTGCAGAAGCAGTCCAGCCAGTTGGAGGAACAGCAGCAGGCAGCTGCCAGACTCCAGGAGCAGGGGACCACGGCCACCGCAGATTACAGGAAGGCAGATGCCGGCCTCACCAGGGCGTTGGCCGCTGAGCTGGCCGCCTGTCGGGAGCGCGACCAGGTGCTTTCGGACAAGGCGAGCCTGGTACAGCAGCTGGAGCGGCGCGCTGTTGAGGTGGCCCGGCTGACGGCTGAGCTTGAAGACCGGCGAGCTGAACTGGCTGCAGCTAATGCGGCCAAGTGTCGGCCGCTGGCACAGGTGGGGGAAATTGCCGCCAAGGAGATCAGTGTCCAGTACAGAGAGAGGAAGATGGCGAGTGAGAAGGAGGTGCTGGAGAAGCAGATGTCTCTGCTGCTGGAGAGCCTGAAGTCGCAAGCAGAGGAGCTGTCCACGCTGCGCCGCCAGCACAGCTCGCGGATCCTCCAGCTGCAGGCCGGCCTTGCCAACAAGATGGACCAGCTGGGGACGGAGCAGGCGGAAAAAGAACGGCTGACACAGCAGGCGGCCGACCTGGAGCAGCGGCTCACCGAACTGGTGGAGAAGCCCCAGCTGCAGCATGAGGCCGAGATCGAGCGGGAGGAAAACTATCGACAGCAGCTGCGGCCACAGGAGCGGCTGGCGCAGCCCTACAAAGAGGGCGTTGAGAAGGTGGAGGCCAGGTCGAATGAGATGCTGCGCTCGGTGGACGAGCTGCGGTCACTGCTGAGCTCGGCCAGCGAGCAGCAAAGCCAGCTGGAGGTGCATCTGGACGAGACGCACACCCAGCACGGCCAGTACCTGGTGGAGCGCGACAAGGTGATCCTCCAGCTGCGTGACCGGCTGGAGACGTACGAGGAGCAGCTGCAGGCAATCACCCGCATTGTGGCGGCTTGAATGGGAGAGAGTCCGCGTGTTTGGAGGCACTTTGCCCCCTCTGTCGAGGGGGGCATCGACCCCACGGGCAGGGGGCCTCCATGTCGACATCCTCATCGAGAACCTACTCCGAGCCACGATGAGCTGGACAGGTGGGGCCAGGCCACCCTGTCCCAGCTTCGCACCGGCTACTGCCCACTGGTGCGAGCCACAGCTCATCGTCTCGGCCTGGTCGAAGACCCGACCTGCCGAGCCTGCGGCGAGGAGGAGGAGGACGTGGAGCACCTCCTGGCCGGGTGCCCTGCACACGTGGCGGCGAGGGCCGGCTTCTGGGGGCACTGTCCGACCCTGGCGGAAGTGCTCTCGGGGCCGGCCCAACATATCATCGAATTCATGAAGAGAGTGGGGCGGGTGCAGGTCGCCACCGACCCGCCCCCGCCGGCCGCGCCCTAGGCGCGGTCCGCGACCGCGCAGAAGAAGAAGAAGAAGGCAATCACCCGCAAAGGTAGCCTTTCAGACGAGGCGGTGGAGGCCACGTCACCGTCCGCCGCCCCCGCCGCCGTCAGCCGGCTCCTGCGGCAGGGTATGACGCCCACACAGATCTTCACCGGGTTCAGTCAGGCCAAGGAGCAGCTGACGGCCACAGAGGCCGAGAGCAAGCAGTTCAAACTGTGCCTCGACCAGATCCTGAAGGACATTGATAAGTGGACGCCGGCCATCCAGAGGCAGCAAGAGGATTATGAGGCGGCGGTGCAGACGATCGACTCTCCCACAGGCAGCAATGACGAGGCATTACGGGAGCTGGAGACAGCACACGCCAAGCCTGACGACGCCGGCCGGCGACTTCGTATCGTACAACACGAGAGGGACCGACTGGTCGCCCAGACAGAGGACCTGGCAATGCAGGTTTGCGTGCCGCTGAAGGAGGTGGAGAAGGCGCGCGATGGTCGTAACCACACCACGGGACGAGCTCGAGCTGGATACCTCCGCCGGACGGCTGATCGCCCAGCGTCTGGTCACCTTCTGGGGCAAAGAGGAGCTCCAGGCGCGCAACCAGGACCTGCTGTCCGTGGTGCGCGCGAACTGAGCGCCTCCCGGGAGGAGCTGAACACGCAGCGCTCATGGCTGCGTCCCGTGGACAACTGATCACTGCCTGCTGCGGTCATATGCCTGAGGTACCAACCGTCCAGCACCCCATGGCCGGTGCTACCCTGTCCATCTGTGTTTTTCTCGGCGAGGGTATTCAGCAGTCGTCCGTCATTTCCATTGTGCGTATGGCTTGACGGCCCCCGCCCACTGACGCTCGCGCCAGCACTGGTAGTTTTGCGCCTTCCTGACAGGCACCTGAGTCTGAGTGCAGGGCTGTGTAAAGGTAACCCTTCTCCGCGCGCGAGTGTTAGGCCCGCTTTATCTCGCTCTGCACCTTACTGGTATGCTGTGCGTGTTTTTTACTTGCATGGAGCTTGGAAATGATCGTTACCCGCGCCCGTTTCGGTTATCAGCACCTTGCTTGACTGTTCGTTTGCGCTGTTCAATTTGTCGGTCAAATGTATGCGTTCGACGTTCGCAGTGAAGCCGAACACAGGGGGGAGTGATGTTGCCGACAAATTGCACCTATGCAAGGCGGTACGGGCGAGAGACTCGGCGCTGCTGAGCCGAACCGCCGCCGCGCCGCCGAGCCGAGCGCCGTCCGCGGTCGCGGGACGCTGGCGTCCCCTCTGACCCGGCTGGCCGGCCGGCGCGGCAGGGCGGCTCCCTGTTTGCGTAGGACCGGCCCAGGTCCGGGCCATTGTGTGGGGCACGCACGTGCGCGCCCAGCTTGTGTCTTTCGGGTGGAGCGCTGGACGCCCGGGCCATTTTTAGCCTTTTCTGTGTGCTCTGACCGTCCTCAACGCGTCTTGTTTCACCCCCTGTCGCCGTATATAAACTAGTTGTAAACACCCCCGCCCTCACTTCACCTTTCGACTTCGACGGGGACACTGCGCTGCCCCGCTCTCTTCCCGGTACGTTTCGCTGCCTTGTCCGCCAAATATAGTGAACTAGAAGACAAAGTGTGTGAGAAGCCCGAGTGAGAAGTGAAACAGTGCGCGGTCTACACACAGATGAGATATTCGACGGAGGTGCGGCAGGCGTATCGGTTCCGGTGACCAGGTCTACTGACTATCCTTTTTTATCCTAAAACATTCCTAAAACTCTCTAAGAAGGGGGTTCCTTTGTCGTCGGCATCCGGCGCTCTATATTTAGGCCCTAACATACTCCCTGAGAGGGGAATTCCTTTGACGTCGGTATCCGGCGCTCTCATATTTTAGGCCCTAACATACTCCCTAAGAAGGGGGTTCCTTTGACGTCGGTATCCGGCGCTCTCTTATTTAGGCCCTAACATACGCCCTAAGAAGGGGGTTCCTTTGCCGTCGGTATCCGGCGCTCTTTTATTAGGTCCAAATATACTTCCTAAGAAGGAGGTTCCTTAGTCGTCGGCATCCGGCGCTCTATCCTAAATCCAATATTTAGTTGTATCTTAACTAGGCTAACGTGATAGGTTATAACGTTTATTTTCCCAATTTTCCAATTAAACCATTTTCCTCCTGGATCTCGGTCACCAAACAACCAAATGCTGTGCGATGCGCGATTAAATACAGTCCACACCATGAAAGGAGATTCGAACGAAAGCGTCGCCAACATCGGTTTATCGATCATTGCTGATTGAAACAATCGCGAATGTGAAACTGACTCGTAATTGACAACTGCAAATAAGCAATCCTTGATTACAACAGGATAGGGCCTTGCAACAGGGCGGCTCGCGCGCGCGTGTGCGTGGAAGCTGTCGAAGCGAGGGGATTTGCTTTTCAGAGTTGTTGGAGGATAGATGAAGTTGCCTTAGATGAAGTAATCTACAGATATTGGTATATCTGTCTGCATTTTAAGGTGAATATGTTATATCTTTGGATATTGATGTCGCTATCGCTGTTTTTCATATGCGCCATTTTCGTCTATTTGTCGCCGATAAAAATCACCCTAGTAGTTCATAAACAAAGTAAATTATTGTTGTGCTGAATACTGAATAAATTAAATTTGAAAGATTTCTTGCAACATTTAGGCAAGTTTTTCATTTTGAAACTTAAATGACTGAAATTATGTGACGTGACCTATCAGTGGGGAAACTGTGGTCAAATCTTCTATTTTTGGAAGCCTTCCATTTTTGGAAGGACCTTCCATAAATGGGTATGCATTTTCCAAAAATGGAAGGCTTCCAAAATTGGAAGGTCTAATCTCAGTGCTCCCAACTGTGATTCACATTCTTTGATTTAAGTTACGGCCTTTTTAAATGTGTAACATTAATAGTTGATTTTACCATTTATGATCATTGATATAAGGAGAAGCAGCAGTGCTAGTGTTGGTAATACAGGCATGCTATGTCAATGTACATAGTGATATAATAGCATGGTGTCCTGGCGCACTGCTCTCTTTTTCTACTTCTAGAGGACACATAGAAATTCAGAAGAGAAAACAGCTGGTCAATAACCAACCAGGAGGAACACAGCTATAGCCCTGACAAAAAATGGTTTAAATTAAACTTACTATTCCTCATATAAATTGAAGATTCATGCTCCTTCGATAGAAAGTAACACGAAAAACGGCGCAGTAACGCCTACCGTAAAATGGGGTATTAAGGGACAGTGGGGTGTTAAGGGACAGTTGCATGGGAAAAACTTTGAGTCATATTAACTTCCTAATTTGAGAAGGTTCAATAAAAACTTCAGTGTGGTAGTTGACACTGTTTTGCTCTTGACCATAGGAGAAAATGGTATGGTTTTTCATGCAAGTGATTTGGTTCAAAAATGGATTTGAAAATCACGCTACATTTTCACAAAATTGAAACATCTCCAAAACTCTGTGTGTACCACATAAACTAGTGGGTGTACAGGGAAAATGAATGCATAGGTGTATTGTCACATGTATTGCACATGTTTCCTGAAAAACTTGTGCAAATCCACCCATTCATTCATCATCCTCTTCCTCTTTTCCGGATACATGCATATTTTGAGGTGGATGTGGGGTGCTAAGGAACAGGGAAGAAAAAATAAAAAATAATATCTAAATATAATTTAATTAAGTAGGCATGGAAAACACCAAATTCCACATAAAATGCTGGCGAGTTCATGCTTTTATCTCTAACACATCTTAAGTTATGTAACAAAACATCTCAACACTCTCTTTTACAATGATGGGTCAATGGAGACTGATGTAAGTAAATGTGATGTCATCATAAAAAGGCTAAAACAAAGAGGGCAACATAATGACAAGTGACAAGCTTCAACATGGGTTTTTATTGATGACAGAAGATTACTTTTTGGTTCTGTTTACCTTATAATTAGCACATTTTCCACAAGCATAAACTGCATTATACGTAATTGGCTAAAAAGGTCATTAGTGGTGAATGAATCTGACTTGTTTTGTGACAGAATATGCAAAACATTTCAATAAATAAATTGTGTGCCCTTCCACACCCCAATAGTGGGCATTTGATGACCATTTCTTGGAATAATATAGGTGTCCCTTAACACCCCACATTGGGGTGCTAAGGGACAGTGATGAAAAATAATAAAAAAATAATATGCAGGTATAAATCTTAAAAACTTAAATGCGGCAGGCATGTAAAGCACCAAATTCCACATAAAATGCTGACAATTTGATGCTTCTATCTCCAACCCTTCTTGAGTAATATAACAAAACACCTCAAAACTGTCCCTTAACACCCCGTTTTACGGTATTTAATTCGTCCCATATTCCGGAAAAAAACATTGAAAAATGACGAGACCTCCACCCAAATGTTTGGCAAAAGCCTTAAAAAATTGAAATCAACCACACAATATGCTAATAAATGCAGAAAACAGCAACAAATACAAGTTTTACTCGCCACTACACTCCCGAAACCGCCGCACTCTGTCCAGACAATTCCGCACTGTAAATAAAGTCGGCGGTATCGAACAAGCATGGCCCGTCACTAAAGTACTTTTAAGGATATTTACTTTTCGTTTTTGATGCTTTTTGCTTACAAAATGTTTGATAAAGTCTTATAAAACCATCGTTTGTCGGTAAATTTTTGTCAATTTTCCACGACTCATTACTTTGAAAAATTACCTAAAATACATCCACGCTAGGATTTAGGCATCCACGCTAGATTATGGACACTTCACTATGGCGAATAGAAAGCGACCAGGGGCGATAGTCGCATTTGCCTCATGTTCGGCGGAAATCGGTAAGTTCCAACATATGCGCAACATTTTCTATATTTGGGTACGATGACGTCGTCAGCGTACCCATTTTTGGAAGGTGCGTACCCATATATAGAAAATCCTTCCAAAAATGGAAGGCTTTCTAAAAATGGAAGATTTGACCACAGTTTCCCCGACTGCTATCATTTACGATGTAGCTAATTAGCTTTCAAATGCTACTGAATGCTTAAAGGCATCATTTGGAATGGTTTCCAATCCAAAGATTCCACCTTGGAATATCCATAAAACCCACAAAAAGTAGTTTGAAACAGACTCACTCTTCCTGCTTCTCCCACCATCTTGGTTTTCTTCAAGGCTGTATTGATACAGCAGGCGTCTCAGGTGCTGCCACCCTTTTGGAAAAAGTCTCTAGACTCGTCAGTTCTTGAAATATTTACCCAAATTTTGCTTATAGAAGTTTTCATCAAATAGTAGGCGTCACAGAACAAAATAACTGAACGCCTGACCTAACCTTACCTACAACTGAAGACTGAGGCCTGAGGAATGATTTCAGCACCAAAATTTATATATTCTGCTAGGGTTGTTGTTGGGGTGTAAAAGCTTCAGAATTGTGCTAGTCTTGGTGCAATTTACAAAACTCCCACTAACTGCATGTTAAAAGTGGTATGTTTCCTTCAATGGAATTATGAGGGAAGGCAAGCTTTTCTGTAAGATGTCAATGTGAGTTAAAGACTGGTGCAATAGCAATAGGTACCAGTATGATGTTTTCACTTGGTGTCTTAACTCTTAACCTTCATCATGATCTTGGTGAAATAGGCTAAATGGTATTTGCAACAAAGAAAATGCATGCTGACCAGTGAGCCATGGGAAAGCTTTCTGTATCTCACAGCACATTACTGAAGAGTGACAACTGATGACAGCCATCAACAGTTTTTTCATTTAACTGTGTACTTTCAAAGGTTTTCAACAGTGTATTTGCTTATATATTCATTTTATTAGATCATTTGCACTATTGTGTCATAAACATTTTTTTAGTTTTTTCTTTTTCTTTAAGTCTGCTGCAAAAAGCAGTTGTTTTGGGATGTTTTGTGTAAAGTTTCTTCACTGCCAGCCCTTTATTGTTTTTGTTTCCACTTTATGGCTCATGTCAAGGATGTTATTAAGAAATAAGAATCATACACATGTTTGCATATTTTCTGTCAAGTAATTTCATGTTTTGTTTCCAATAAGGTATTACAAGTGGTAATCAGTATTGCAACAGGAAATTGCTAAAATTGCATCAGTTTGATTGATATTGTTATTCTGAATGCAAAGTATGGTATGCAAAGCCTGAATGATTTAAAATTGCACCAATAAAAGTGTCAGCCTTAGCTCATTTATTTCTTGCAACCCTTGGTTACTATACTCACTTATTTACTAGCAGGCCAGTGACAAGGAAAATTGGATATTTTTTGTGTAAACTCTATTGTACGGCTCTCCAGTAAAAGTCTTGTTGGTTTTGCTTTTTCGGACATATCTGGTCCTATATAATGTTTAAATGCATAAGTATCAACCCGGATTATGTGTATGCACATTTACCACGAGACTGTGAAATTTCATCGTTGTATGCCAAATACTTTCCGAGATATCCACCAAAAACCTCATTTTCTGCCGTTTGGGGTATTCTGGCCGCAATCTTCCTGGGATCGCCTATGACATCCATGGTGCCACCTAGCGAGAGGGACGCGGAAACACAGAATCATGAATGAATCGAGCGCGTAGTAAACGGTGTATGGAAGGGGACTCGGCAGAGGCTATCCGGGTGGCCGGCGCGCGGCGCGCCCTTAGGCATCGGCCGACCCTTCGGACCGCGTGGGGTCAGAGGTCGCGCTCGGGAAGTCTCGGCTCTGGGTTTTAGCGCTATGCAGTCAGGAAGGGAGGGGAGGATAGCGCCAGCCCGACTGACTAGTATCTCGGCTGATTCGTGTGGGGTGGAACGGATCACAGAACGGGATGGTGGCTAGTGGTGGATGATGGGATGGTGGTTAGGTTAGTGCGTACTGCGTAGAACGTAGCTGAACATGCATTGTTTTTTCATGGCAAACAACATGCAGCATAATGTGCGGGATTATGCCAGAACTCATACAAAAAGGAACTAATATTTCGGCCGAGGGAGTGGATGAGTGCCGTGACAAAGCATGACGATGCTGCCAATATCGGGATGCTTGTTTGCTCCCATTTTTTTTTTATTAAGTTTTAACCCTAACATGCAGCGCTTGATCCGAACTTACAGGTCCCCGACTGACCTTGGACCTTAAAATCGCACCCATCCGGTGCGCCACCTTTTCTTCAGGGGCGCTCTTCTTGGTTGTATCTGTTCTTACCAATAACTAAAGCAAATCGAACGTGTAATAAAAAAGGCATACCTCAAACACAGTTTAATTCACATCCGTTCGTGTGCATACTTGTTTTTACCTATACCTTCTCGCTTCATAATATATCACTTCAGTGCTTAACCTTCAACGGAATTTTGGGTTTTCTGCATATACCCCGGCCGAGGCCAGGGGGGGGGGGCGATTACGACCCCTCTCTGTCTTTTTGGCCCTAATTGAGCTAGCGCCTTGCGGATAAAACTGAGCGCGTGCGTCGTATGAGATGCAGCAACTGGTACCCGAGTTGAATGTCTCAGGTCCACCGATAAACTCTGAGGTCAGTATAAGTGCTCCAAGTCGCGGGATCGGTTTTTGGTAAACAACTTCACCTTAAGTGGTTACAGAGCCAAGAGTTTTGCATGCTCAAACGCGTCGAATAGTTTACGCTTTGTTTTTGTTGAGGTCAATTTAAGGTGTTTACCTCAGGTCATGTCAGGGCAGAGCCACTCAGGCCACGAGGCTGACTCAAGGAGGTCATATCGCTTCTTCGATGCGGTAGGTCCTTACAAGTCCACTGGTGGCTTCCCGACTCGCTAGCTCAATTCAATTTGATCGGGACTTTTTGGTGAAATCTCCTGTGACCTTAGTGACGTTATAAATGAAGTCGCCTAACCTTAAGAGTGGAAAAGTGAATGCTTGGGCTTGCAAAAATTGTATAAAATCGCGAATTCATGCGCTTGAGACAGCTTTAGATGGCTCCCGGCGCCAAAATAACAGTTTTCATATTTCCCAATTGATTAATAATCGTGAGGTTGCGTGACCGACCTGACTTCAGGTGACTCTTAAGAAAAATACGAAATAGCTACATACAAGTTGTGAGGCCTCTGGGAGATAGTACTAGATCATATAAGCTTCATTCCCCGTTGAAAAGTCCCCTGGCACGAAGGGTGCTGCGACGTCGCGACATTTTGGGGCCTTACAGAGGTTCACTTTTGACGCCATTGGTCAACGGCCTGACCTTAACCTTCGCACTTGTAGGAGGGTGTCGAACAGACCTCCTACCCTCAGTTTTTTTTCGCAAATAACTCGCGCAAAAAGCGGCTGATTGCGGCGAAACTTTCAGTACCCTCGAGTTATTCAATATTACGCCTACCCTATAATTTGCATGACCCTGACTCAAAAGACCTTTGACTGGTGACCTGTTTTCCGAGACCATGTTTGGCCGGAATCGCGTTTTGGCGTATTTCGAGTAGAACGCGTTTTATTGTCTTTTTGTGGCTTTAAGCGAACAAACATGTGAAAGGATGTTGATCGCATGGATTCTAGTGGGTATCAAGGTCACGTGAAGATCAGTCAGGTCACTGACCTTTGATGACCTTTGTTCACTCTTTCAAGTTCTACATGTTTCTAGGGTAGATTTTGGAGTTGATTTCGCATTTAGAAACCGTTTGAACATTTAAGAAGTAGTTTTGGTTCACTCGTAACATGTGACCTGACCTGACCTGACCCGACCTGGCCTAAATGCACGAAAACATCATCTGTGATCAAAACTTACTTGAATTTCGTGATCAGCACCCCGCAAAACCCTATAACAGCTTCACTTTACGAAGCTCTAACAGGTCCCGATTCCCCGACTTTTGAGTTATATTGACCTGTCAACCAATGACCTAGGACCTTAACCCTCGCCGGCACAGGCCATTTTGAGTCCTTCGACGGCACAAGGGGGGGGGGTACGATCCCCCCCTCGCGTTTGGCCCCTGATCGAGCTAGAGCTTCGCGAAAAAAAAAACGAGCGTGTTGCCCGTCACGAGAGGAAGCCGATGATACCCAATTTTAAGGTCCTAGGTTATCGGGTGACCTTCCAGGTCAGGTCAATGACCCGAAAACCGGGAAAATCGGGACCTGTTAGAAAGTCGTAAAGTGCGGCTGCTATGTGGTTTTCCGGGGTGCTGATCACGAATATCGTGTTAGTTTTGATCAGAGATGATGTCTTTAAGCATTTAGACCAGGTCGGGTCAGGTCAGGTCAGGTCAACCGGTAGGGGTTGTGACGGTATTCGTAATACGTGTCAACCGCCTCGGACAGCTTCGTAACTTGTTACGAAGGCACCAAAACTACTTCGTAAATGTTCAAATGGTTGCTAAATTCGAATTCAGCTCCAAAAACTAGCCTATAGGCATGTAAAACTCGAAAAAGTGAACCGAGGTCACCCGAGGTCACCAAAGGTCAATGACCTGACCTGACCTTCAGGTGACCTTGACACCCACCCTAATGCATGGGAGCAACATCAAATCACATGTTTGAACGTTTGAAACCACGAAAAGCTTGCAAACGCGCGGCGAATGCGAGCCGCATACGCCGAATCGCGATTCCGGCCAAACATGGTCTCGGAAAAGAGGTCACAGGTCAAAGGTCATTTAGATCAGGGTCAAAAAAATTTCAGGGTAGGTGTAAAAATTGATCAATGCGAGGGTACTGAAAGTTTCGTCGCGATCGGCCGCTTTTTACGCGAGTTATTCGCGAAAAACCTTAGGGGGCTGCATCAACCCCCCCTGTGCCGGCGAGGGTTAAAATTGGGTATCATCGGCCTCCTCTCGTCACGGGCAACACGCTCTTTTTTCGCGAAGCTCTAGCTCGATTAGGGGCTGAACGGCAAAGGGGTCCAACGGACCCTCATCCCCCTCTTTACGATAGACGCTGGCAAAACACCAATATGGGCGAGGGTGAAAATACAGCTGCTGTCATAAAAATTCAGCTTGAACCAAAGGTCAGGCTTGCCAAAATTTCAGCTCTCGCAGCTATCAACAAAAATGAACATGTGGAGGCGGCACCCGCCTCCCCCCCTCCTCTCGGCCACTGCCAGCGAGGTTGCGTATCATACATGTTACAAAGCATCATATCAAGATGATACACCCCAGCAGCCTGAACAAAAACTTATAACCCACGCTAGTCTATCGGCACCATAGCACATGGTCGAGACTGTCGTCAGCCACGGACGCGCACTCGACCAACCCTCTGTGCCCGTTGACTGCGGGTGACCTTGACATGTCTAGCCTGATCGGCGCGGCGGCCGGCCGCTGTCGTGCGGTCGTTACACGCGGAGGGGAGAGAGACACAAAGTTCTACGTTATAGCTGACCTCTGACCTTTCCCTGCGCCCTGGTCACCGACCCCGCTCCATGTCGCTGGGCGGTGGCATGGCGGTGGAAACCGGTTCTAGCCTCTACACATGCCACCATTCTAACCCTCCCCTCCCCACGCTACTACGCGGCGTGGAGTACGCTCGTGCGTAACTGGGCGGAGCAAGGGGTCACGCGATACAGGGGCGGAACTGGTTGCCCTCCCGCTCGCCGAGCGACCTACGACTAATACCCTGGAGAACCGTACAAAAAAATCCTGGCAATAGGCCAATGGCATTATGACCAGTAATATTTCATATTTTTTTCTTATTTTTTTCTTTGTAATCTCTCCCTCCACTGTTAAGTTGTTTGACTATGCACAGTTTGCATTCACTCTGCACAGTGCACAGTTAATCTATATTACTATTAGTATGGCCTATGGTCACTTACATGCTAACTTTAAAGCACATAGGTACATCCAATGATTTACCAAGTTGTTATTGTTTTCACATGTTCCAAAACATTTTTGAACTAAAAACAAAATGGCCTATGGTCACTTACATGCTAACTTTAAAGCACATAGGTACATCCAATGATTTACCAAGTTGTTATTGTTTTCACATGTTCCAAAACATTTTTGAACTAAAAACAAAATGTGCTGGACACATTTCATGTTGTATATGTGTAGCTGTTAATGCAGATGGAACATATGCAGGACATCAGCAGGACAGATGCAAGAGTTAGTGTCTTTCATCTGCCCCTCTTTTCCAGCTCTGAACTCTCTGCCCCTGTTTATTGTCCACCCCTACACATGTCTGCTGTATGCTCTGGCTGTCTGCTATTGTAGGTCTGCATTGCAACGGGGTCTCAATTTCTCCTTTAGGCGCAGCAGACCGAGCCCACAGCAGTTTCAGCAGCAGCCTTTCAGCCGGCCGGCGCCAGCGGAGCAGCGCCGCTCCCACCCAGCTCACAGGTCAGCTCAGCGCCATGGGTGGTGACGATCGCAGTCGGGACCGCGACCGCGACCGGCGCCGCTCGCGCTCCAGGGACCGGGACCGCGACAGGCGCCGGCGCTCCCGGTCCCGCGACAAGCGCGACAGCCGGCGGGACCGCTCTCCGCGCGACGACCGCGGCGCCACGGCCGTCACCAAGCTGACGCGCAAGAAGCCGAGTAAGTACTGGGACGTGCCGCCGCCGGGCTTCGAGCACATCTCGCCGGTACAGTACAAGGCGATGCAGGCAGCCGGCCAGATCCCGACCAACACGGCGCCCGACCCGCTCAACAGCTCCGTGGTGGGCTCGTCGGTGACGCGTCAGGCGCGCCGCCTCTACGTCGGCAACATCCCCTTCGGCGTCACTGAGGAGGAGATGATGGAGTTTTTCAACCAGCAGATGCATCTGAGCGGCCTGGCGCAGGCGGCCGGTAGCCCAGTGCTCGCCTGTCAGATTAACCTGGACAAAAACTTTGCCTTCCTCGAGTTCCGCTCCATTGACGAGTGTACGCAGGCAGTGGCGTTTGACGGCATCAACCTGAAGGGCCAGAGCCTGAAGATCCGCCGGCCACACGACTACCAGCCGATGCCGGGCCTGACGGACGGACCGGCCTCCTCAGTGCCGGGCGTGGTGGGTGTCATCTCGACCGTGGTGCCCGACTCGCCGCACAAAATCTTCTGCGGCGGCCTGCCCACCTATCTCACCGAAGACCAGGTCAAGGAGCTGCTCATGTCCTTCGGCCAGCTGCGCGCCTTCAACCTGGTCAAGGACTCGGGCACCGGCCTTAGTAAGGGCTTTGCGTTCTGCGAGTACGCTGACCTGTCGCTGACAGAGGTGGCGATCCAGGGTCTGAACGGCATGCAGCTGGGCGACAAGAAGCTGATTGTTCAGCGCGCCAACGTCGGCTCCAAGAACTCGGGCATGATGGCGCCGGTACAGATCCAGGTGCCGGGCCTGCAGCAGGTGTCGGGCGGCGCCGGCCCGGCCACTGAAGTCCTCTGTCTCCTCAACATGGTCACTCCGGACGAGCTGCGCGACGACGAAGAGTACGAGGACATCGTCGAGGACATCAAGCTTGAATGCAACAAGTACGGTGTGGTCAAGAGTATCGAGATCCCGCGTCCAATCGACGGTGTGGAGGTGCCCGGTCTTGGCAAGGTGTTTGTCGAGTTCAATTCCGTGCTCGACTGCCAGAAGGCGCAGCAGCAGCTGACGGGCCGCAAGTTCGCCAGTCGCGTGGTGGTCACTTCGTACGTCGATCCCGATCGCTACCACCGGCGCGACTTCTAAGCGGTAGTGGTCGCTCGCGGTGGCCGGGGGTGCTGCGTGGGATGGCGGGCGGGAGAGGCACCCGTTTGGCGGCAGGCTGCGCCCTGGTCCATCAGAGTAGGGTTTCTTTTGTCCAGGCCGCGATGTCCAGGCCGGAGACCTGGTTGAAACAGCCACCCTACTTAGTGCTAGTGTGGATAGTTGTGAAGTTGTCAGGAATACTGGCCTTTATTCATAAGCGACTCAATTATAATTGAGTCGATAGCTACCTAACTAATAATTATTAGTTAGGTAGCTATGCTAATCTTAAAGTCGCCTATGAACAAAAGCCATCGTGGAAAGTAGGGTTTTGTAAACTGTTCAGCGTGTTTCGTGTTCGTCCGGGGACGATTTAAATCGGCATCCGATAGGATTGTTATACCAATGCTAAATTTCCAACGAGGGTTGCTGCAGTCAGCACTCGATCATGTCATCAAAAGGTAGTCGCTTCATTTTTTCGGTTATTGGGATCGTTCGTAACTCGCTTACTTTGTATTGAAAGGTCTGTAATCCCTTCTTTTCAATGTTTTGACAATTCATTTGTGTCATGGTCGCATGTTAAAGTAAATGGAATGATGCGTCAAACGCAGTGCTTCGTGGCATTGTTTTTAAGTAGCTAGCATGTCTTTGATATTTTTTTTCTGAATCTGATCGGAAAGTAATGATCATCGTTCACATATTTTGACGCGTTTACCTGTATTATGCCGACCATTTTTTACTTCTCAAGGAAAGTTCATGAACGATGTACGCAGCCAATATACGTTTGAACACCCTATGCATTGATGAAATGTTCACAGTAATGACCAACAATGGATTGCTCGTTAATGTAATTGGCATCATTCTTCGCTTTGTCTTCGAAAGATCGTCACAAGGTCGTTTCTCTGGTGTAAATTTTCATATAATGTAGATTTTCATATTAATACTAGTGCTTCGAAATTTCTGGCAGTTCTCAGTGACCTCGAAAAGTGAATAGGTAACTTCAAATCATCGCTAATTGCACAGATTCAGGGCGTAAGATCAGGTAAATGGGTAATTTCAAATATGTAACTGTGCATTGCTCAGATTCAAGGCGTAAGATGAGGCGTAAAATCACTGTATCTCTCGATGCTGTCTTTTGATTTGCGGCCCACATATAGCTGAATCAGTATGGTGCATGGGTAAGCCATGGGCCAAATAAAATGGAGAGAGCTGAGCCGAGTGGTATCGTCTACGCCAGGCATGAATATTTTGCTAGATGCCGGTAAGATCACTGCTAGCAATTATTCTGTGTATCCCCTCTTATTTATGTTGCATGTGTAGCACTTCGTACGCTGATGAAAAACTACACCTCCCAGGCATTTCCTTCCTTGTTTCGCCTTCTGGTTTGATCTTCAGCTGTATCCATCTTTCAGTCAGTGATTATCAATTATGAGACAGCGACACCCGCGCAAAATCGCTGGATATACATTAGCAACAGTTACTTTTTTCTTTCCTAATATTTTTCGTTAGGATCATTGCTGTTAAACTCGAGCTTAAAGTCGGTGTTGATATTTGTCTCTTCCGCAGTCATAGGTCCTTTCTGTCTCAACTCTATTTGACGACACTCCTGATCTTGTGTTTGTTGCATGATATCACACCGCATTCCTTTAATTCATTTCATCATAATTCATATGATGTAACTGGCGGTACACTTTTAGCTTCTTATCGTCCCACGTTCGTTGCATCTTTCATGTCCATTTGTGTTTTGATGCGTGTACATTCATCCTGCGTCGTCATGGATGGGCGACTTCTGTATCCGACTGTTGTAATGACTGGCTGCTCCTGCCTTCCGTTCCGCCTTTTTTCACAATCCAGCAGGCTCAACTAGCAGCAAGTGATGGCAGGACTCTTTGTATTCTTGTCGACCTCCTATCTGACCTTGTCGTTCTCTTCACTCGATCCCTCCAATCAGCTCTGCTTATGATGACCTACCTACTTCCCCTTCTAGTGTTAGCCTCCTAGTGGTTGACCTTTTGTCAGTCCTTACAGCCGCCCTGTCAATCATCCCTGGCTCGTCCTAACCAACCCGCTGACCCGCAGCCCAGTCGTCCCAGGATCTCCCGTCCGTTTTTTTTTTATTATTATTATTAGGACTCCTAGATCTTTTCTTCCTAGGTCGCCTGGGGAATATATTTCGATGGGAGCCACCTCCCCCAAGGCTGTGTACTGTGTCCCATTTCTGTGGGACTGTGTATCATCCTCCCAGGGCTGTGGGACTGCGGGTGCGTGTACATTCATCCGGCGTCATCATGGGCGACTTATGTATCCGACTGTTGTAATGACTGGCGACTCCTGCCTTCCGTTCCGCCTTTTTGGCCCAATCCAGCAGGCTCAACTACAGCAGGCTCAACTCAACTCAACACTCTCAACAGCAAGCTCTTCTCAATCCTGTGGGACTGTGTGTACCAGGGGTGTGGGACTGTCTGTGGGACTATGTAACACCCTCCCAGCTCTGTGGGTCTGTCTGTGTGGGGGTGGGTCGGGCGGCGGCATCGTTTCTCTGCCGCCAGGTCTGCTCACCGCCGGACCGTCTGTCTGTGTGCCACCAGGGCTCGCACGCGGCCGCGCTCCGATGGCGGCCCTCACGGCCGGCCCCGCGCGCGGCGCCGCACTCGCCCTAGCCGCCGTCCGGCACAATCCAGCCAACGGTACGTGAAACGAGCCTGGCCTCGGGACGGGTCAAAGACGCCCTGCGTCTACCCCTTCCATGTGACATGGCTTCCCATTGAGTTATTGCGTCGTAACTAAACTTCTTTGGTTGTCTGTGGTAGGGATCCCATGGTGTCTTATGAACTTGTCTCGGGCAATAATGGTAGCCATCATCTAACCAGCCTTTGTCTTCAGCATGCATGCCTCGTGCGCTCAGCCCATCGTTCACCGCCAGACATTTTCTTATTGAATGCCAGTCCGGCCTTTTGTTCCTCATGCATGTGCAGTGTTTAAACGTTATTAAAGAGGATAGAGGTGATGTCTGGTCCTTGAGACATATTGGCGGGACTGGTGGCCATTGTAATTGCTGGTAGGCTCTTGCTTTTGTGCGGTAGTTCTTTCACAGTTGATCGAAGCATTGCAGCACGATGCTGAAATAAATGGGACCACATCTGGCCAGTTTGTAACAATCGCCGCCGTTTCGCCTATTCAAAGCAACATCGCAACTTATCGCGGGGTCTGTTTTATAGCTCGACATTGAACATATGACCGATCGATTATGTGCAAAATAGACAGCATAAACAATAAGGATGCTTCTTTCTTGGTGTAGTTATAACGAACGTCATTTTCATAATTCATTAGGAGTTCACGTCAATGAAAGCAACTAAACGCTGAAAGAGAGGGCTGTCTTTCTCGCTTACTTTGTGTAAAAGTTAAACGTAGTTTGAAAATGAGGTTAACACTTTTATCTGTCACCCAAGGCCGTGTTATACGGTACAACTCCCATAGTTTTTACATGTGTTCAAGAAGTGTGAAACAGCTGGCATTTTGCAACCAAGCAACAGCATCAGCGGACTGACAGTGAAAAAGTACGTCATTTGATTCTGCGCTGTAGCCAATGGCTGTAGCCCTCTCATCTTTTTCAAGAACCAGCTTTCATGACGTTTTCAATCCCTCAAATATGTCAAAGCTGTGCAACTTAGCGTTAGTGATAAAGTGGTGAGAACTGTCAGCAACCCGGGCCATGAAATGATCATGGATCAAAATCAGATGCTCTTGTGTAAAGATAGGTATGACATCCCGGTGGTGAATGCTCTAAGCCGTTATTTTAAGAGTATTTTTGCGTAAATCAAAAATGCTTGCTAAATCACGTTATGGTCGAACTTGCTTATAGAAAAAAAAAAACTGGTAATTCGCCTCAAGCTGCTGCGGACGAGTGATATTGGTGTCAGTCTCGGCTTGGTCTGTGTTTTTTTTTTGTGAACATCCGAGCGGCCTGTCTTTTGTTAAGTGCTCGCACCTGCTCCCCGTTCTAATGTTGTCTCCGTCTGTTGCAGGCGGTCTGGCTCTGCGATTCTGCTGGCGACAGCTTGCCATTCACAACAGAACCCTGCACCTCTGCTCCGTGAGCGCCCTGAGTGCTCGGCGCCCATCAGCCGAACCACTAGTATCTCTGACAGCCACCAGGTGGCTGCCACGCGGTCCCATCTCGCCGCTATCGTCCCGCCTGTCTATATTCGAGATGGCGAGTGCCGGCGCGCGACCGTTGGCCACCTCCTCATCTCACCATGTGAGGAAGACCAGCTCTCTGACGGACAAGGGCGACGATCCTCCGCCGGAGAAGCCGAGCATCTTCAAACGGTTCAAGCAGATGTACAAGGACTACTGGTATGTGCTGGTTCCCGTCCATCTGGCAACGTCAGCAGTCTGGTTCGGCTCCTTCTATTACGCCTCGAAAAGGTGAGAACGTCGAGCGTAGTTACTCTGACATACACTTCGCAGCCCTGTGGTTGTCTGTGGATGGGTCATTATCTGATTGAGCAGATTGAGAAGCGATAACGTATCAATGATGTCACTGCTACCAATCTACACTTATCTTCCGATTGTAAGTCAGTTCATGTATGTCCATTGTCCATCGAGGTAGTCAGAGATGCTGAATAAATTGCTCCTTAGCTCTTAACTTTGCACCCATTCACCATTAACCAGTGCGTGAGCTATCGTAGCAGACAGGTCACACCATCCCATCCTTGCACCTCAACCGTGTCTGCCGAGCCGCCTTTACTGACGCTATCTCTCTCTCCCTGGCAGTGGTATCGACGTGGCCGGCATCCTCGAATCGTGGGGTTTCAGTCAGACCATCACAGACAAACTGCGTAACTCGGCCGCTGGACACATCGCCGTGGCGTACGCGCTCTACAAGCTGGCCACGCCGGCACGGTACACCGTCACACTGGGTAAGTGTGTTAGTTACGCACTCACCGTGAGTAAGTGCTAGTTAGGTACGCAGCCGTTCTGGGTAGGTGCGACTGGATGGGTCGATAAGAACGTCCTTAGGTGAGGAATAGTGACGTGAAGAGCACTTTGTCGCTGGCTCAAGATGACAGGGATACCAAGTGGAGAGTGATACGATGGTTACTAATCAGCTACCGCAGCTAGTTTTATTAGGATTTTCATCATCTTTGCCTAACCGTGAGGTGGCTCTGAGCCATCTGTTTGTTTACAGCAGCGTCATAAAACTGAATCGCCTGCACGGCCTACGTCGCTATCATGTTGACCAAAGATTAGATACCCCGATGTCGACTAGCGGTTGTAGTTAGTAACCTACACTTCCTCTTCTGTCCAACAGGTGGCACTACCTACTCCATAAAGTTCCTCAGTGAGCGAGGCTACATCAAGCCGGTACCGTCGCGACAAGAGATGAGAGACATGTACCAGGACCGACGAGAGGAATTCCGCGAACAGAGTCGCGAGTGGCGCGAAAAATATATGGAGAGACGACGCGAGTGGCGCGAAAAGTTTCAAGAACGGCGGAAACACGGATGGAGGAAGAAGTGAGCCAGCAGGCCCATCCCGCGCGCCGATATACGCGACTTCGCAGTATGACCATGTCGTACATACCTTATGCGAGTAATCGCCGCGCTCTTTTCGTGCTCACTGCCAGGCAGGAAGAAGTCGATATTTTGAACAGTGCGGTCTGACCTCAATGGAAATGACAGGACGTATGCCTGATGTTAATTTTTGCTATAATTTAGCGCCAGTCGGTCGCACTGTGCGTCCGTTAGTTCGATAATGTGATAGCTTGTCTGCGCCCCAGCTGCTGGCCGGCAGACGTTTTGTTACGTCCGATGGACATTTTATCGTATGATTGTGAGGCGCGTGCATTGTGTGCAGTCCAAGGACGCGGCTTGAGATGCTGGTTGTTGGGCCGCGGGGCTTTGGCACCTATTTTCCAGGCTGTCCCGCGGCCGGCGTGTGAGGCAACTCTGCTTGTTTTGATTTACCAGTATAACGTCCAATACAATGACGGGTGATTTGACAGATGGCTTTGTTATCTCCAATGCGCTCTGCTATCGAACATTTGGCAATATGGTAAACAAATATACCCGATCGTAAGGTATGGCGTAGCTACCTCTTTTGCGACGGATATAAAAAGCCCACTCTTTCGCAAGACTTTCAAAGTTTTCGATACTCTGGCCATACAACGTGGGCACTATATAAATGCGTCTGAACCGTCATCCAGAACGGGGAGGCTCTGCACAGCTACACCGCCTAGTCCGTCAATAAACGCTGAACGGACAGCACGGTCTGCCCCAGCCCCACACCACCTGCCCAGGCCGATCCGCGGGGTGGTCGGTCCTCACTACGACTCGTCTCTTTTCTGCCGCTGTACTCCAACTGTCTAGGGAAAAGGGATGCCCTGACGTCCCACCCGCTAATTCGGACACGTTTGAACGGACTGGCGATGGCCCCGGAACCGGAACCTTTTCTCAGCCGTCCGACCAAGCCTGGCAGGCTCCTAGTCGCAAACCAGCGCGATACAGGCGGAGTCAACTCAGTCAAGAGGCTCGTGACGATATTATCCTCACTGATGGCCGACAACAAATCTCTACTTCGACGGCCTAACTATAGGTCTCGGTAGAAATGTTCGATAAGCAATTATGAGCGCACCAGACTTAGGGAAAGCACGGTGTAGCATTTAAATGAAGTGCTGTAGTCTGTTTTCAGATGTGTAGTGCGGTACAGTCTTGAGTCCACCTTCAGTGCCCAGCGGTGTGTATTACGGTACAGTCTACCTCCAGTTGTGTGCAGTGCGGTACAGTCTACCTTCATGAGTGTGTCTGCCGTACCTTCTACCTTTAGGTTTGTGTACTGCATGCGTGTGTGTTGTGTGAGGTCAGTCTAACGTCAGGGTTGTGCAGTGCGGTACAGTCTACCTTCAGGTGTGTGCAGTGCGGTACAGTCTACCTTCAGGTGTGTGCAGTGCGGTACAGTCTACCTTCAGGTGTGTGCAGTGCGGTAGGTACAGTCTACCTTCAGCCTTCAGGGTTGTGCAGTGCGGTACAGTCTACCTTCGGGGTTGTGTAATGCGGTACAGTCTACCTTCAGGTGTGTGTAGTGCGGCACAGGCTACCTTCAGGGTTGTGTAGTGCGGTACAGTCTACCTTCAGGGTTGTGTAATGCGGTACAGTCTACCTTCAGGTTTGTGTACTGCATGCGCGTGTGTAGTGCGGTCAGTCTAACTTCAAGGTTGTGCGGTGTGGTACAATCTACTAGTACCTTCAGCGGTGTGTAGTGCGGTACAGTCTACCTTCAGCGGTGGGTAGTGCGGGGCAGTCTACATACGTTAAGAATTGTGTAGTGCGGTGCAGTCTACCGTCGTTTGTGTGTGTAGTGCGGTACAGTCTACCTTCAGGTGTGTGTACTACGGTACAGTCTGTCTTCAGGTGTGTGTAGTGTAATGTTGTATGCAGTCTACACATTCAGGCGTATGTAGTGCGGTGCCGGTACAGTCTACCTTCAGGCGCGTGTAGTGCGGTACAGTCTACCCTCAGGCGTATGCAGTGCGGTACAGTCTACCTTCAGGCGCGTGTACCTACAGCCTACCTTCATGGTTGTGTTGTGCGGCACAGCCTTCCTTCATGGATGCCACGGATGTGCTGTTATGCGGACGCGGTACTTGCACTCTATATTCAAGCGTTTGGGCGATGTGTGTGTAGTGCGGTACAGTCTACCTTCAGGCGCGTATAGTGCGGTACAGTCTGCCTTCAGGCGCGTATTGTGCGGTACAGTCTGCCTTCAGGCGTGTGTTTTGCGGTACAGTCTACCTTCACGCAGAAACTTTCCGTTTGATCATTGTCGGTAACTGCTGGTTACTGTTGTTCTACAGCTGAGTTGTCGCTCCTCACACATATCACTCCTGGCTGCGGATGGTCATTGTCGGTCAACTGCCACGCCAACGGCGACTGACACATGTTCAGACAGACCGACGGCGAGGGGCGGGCAAGATTATGCTCCAACGATCGACATCTTTAGTGACTCATCGAACCGAAATCTAGAGGAAGGTACGCTTGCTGAAGTTTTGTCGAGACGGGATGACCTCTTGGTAACGACTCATCAGTATCACTTTCAATGTGTGAGACTTTTGTCGTTGGTTGAAGGTCGAACGCGTAGTAGAGTGAACGAATTCGCGGGGATCCATTCTTTCTTTCATGTTACGTATGTATATGATTTAACCCTCGCATGTGTGCGGCGTTTGCCAGCTTCTAATGTGTAGGGGGGGGGTCGGTTGGACCCCCCCCCCTTGCCGTTTGGCCCCTGATCGAGCTAGAGCTTCGCGGAAAAAGCGAGCGTGTTGCCCGTGACGAGAGGAAGCCGATGATACCCAATTTTAAGGTCCTAGGTCATTGGTTGACCTTCCAGGTCAGGTCAATGACCCAAAGTCGGGAAAATCGGGACCTGTTAGAAAGTCGTAAAGTGTGGTTGCTAAGGGGTTTTTCGGGGTGCTGATCACGAATATCGTGTTAGTTTTGATCACAGATGATGTCTTGAAGCATTTAGACCAGGTCGGGTCAGGTCAGGTCAGGTCAACCAGTAGGCGTCGTGACGGGTATTCGTAGTACGTGTCAACCGCCTCTGACAGCTTCGTAACATGTTACGAAGTCACCAAAACTACTTCGTAAATGTTCAAATGGTTGCTAAATTCGAATTCAGCTCCAAAAACTAGCCTAGAAACATGTAAAACTCGAAAAAGTGACCCGAGGTCACCCGAGGTCACCAAAGGTCAATGACCTGACCTGACCTTCAGGTGACCTTGACACACACGGGAGTAACATCAAATCACATGTTTGAACGTTTGAAACCACGAAAAGCTTGCAAACACGCGGCTAGTGCGAGCCGACATACGCGAAATCGCGATTCCGGCCAAACATGGTCTCGGAAAAGAGGTCACAGGTCAAAGGTCATTTGGGTCAGGGTCATGAAATTTTCAGGGTAGGTGTAAAATTGATCAATGCGAGGGTACTGAAAGTTTCGTCGCGATCGACCGCTTTTTACGCGAGTTATTTGCGAAAAACCATGGGGGGGGTCCATCCGACCCCCCCCCCTACACATGCGAGGGTTAATCGCGAGAATGGTGACGCTCCTCGTTATAAGCTGATGATGTTCAGTTGCTCGTTTTGTTCACATAATAATTTGTTATACGAAAGACGAGTCATAGAGGCTATGAATACAGCTCTCCGTCTCCGTTAGTTAGATACGTCAGCGAGGCTGTGTGCGCCACATCGATCAGGTAAGGCCAATACCGCTGTGTGGCCCAAGCGGTGACTATTCTCCATCAGCTCGGTCAGGTCGGAGCCACTGTCAACCTTGCCGGTGGACACCACTCTGGGCAGCCCGGTCGGCCGCGCCACCAACACCCGACAGGCTCCGGCCGGCCGTCTATTCCGGTCTGGCGAGCCGGCGGCAATCCTGGCGCGCCTTACTAAAGACGCCGCCGCCGGGCTAATGGCTGTGCGGCGAGCGGCGGCGCGGCAGTGGCGACAGCGCGAGTCGCCAGCGACGCGCCGACGCGCTGAGGTCCGGCGGGCCCCGCGGGCCAGCGCCCGCCCCGGGGACGGCCGGCACGCCGACACGGTCCCTCGACGACCCAGTGACCTGGCGGGCGGCGCGGCCAGAGGCGACAGTGACAGATGACCCCGACACACGATAGAGACGCGAGAGAGATACCGCGGAAGACGTGGTGTTCGCGGCCGCTGACAGTGACACACGCAGTCGGCTGATGGCCGGGGAGTGTCAGACGCATGTCGACTGTCGAGGCGACGTGGAGACACAACGAACATCAGGCTGCTGATTGCCGAGGGAAGAACACGATGGAAATGTCAAACCTGGATGGGAACATTCGACAAAGATGTAGCACCGTTTTGTTAGAGATTGAAAACGTTCACGTATGCAATCGAACTACAAGGTCCTTTTTGCCTTTTACCTGGTCAGTTTGACATTTGATTGTTTCAAATGTCAAAATTTTGTGTTTGATCTATGTTGAATTTTCAAAACAAAGAATTTTAACTTTCACCGTTCTTTAGCTCGATCCATTGTAACGTGTCACACAGTCAAGAGTTATCGGCCTTGTAATCATCGCTATTCGCCAGAGCCAGTGATAGTTATAATGGACAGTGGACACTATTCCATTTAAAAACCATTTTCCACCATTTTTAAGGTATAAACAAAAGTAACTATGCGGTATCATTATACGTATATGTCAAATCGTCCAGTCACTGATACCATTAGCTGTTCGTCATCGTCCATATTCACGCTGCTGGCAGCTGACCAACTATTTCTGAGCCCGAGCGTGTATCACCACCGAACAGTGACGTCACAATCAGCGATGGGCGTGGCCCGGAGCGCGATCAGTCATATTTATCAGCCTAAAACAAATAGGCCGACAGACAGCAGTCGGGAGCACACGGTCACCGCCGCACCGTGGGGACGTTTGCGATCCTAGCACGACATAAGTGGCAAATACGAGTATTTTGATTTACACTTTCTTTATATTCTTTCTATTTTCAGAATTGTCCAGTGTATCCGAATCCGACCTTAAATCGCTTTAAAAATGATGACTTATGCATCAAAATGCGTCACAAAGTGAAGGGTTGGGCTCACTAGCACCGTGCTCCTAGGAAAGGGCGAAAAATAACATGACAACGGAACGCCTGCTCACTCGTTTAATCAAGCACCAATTCGATGTTGCGACATGTTTTTATAATCTGTATTTAATGAGGAATACGAGCATATGCATAAAAAGTTCGAAAAATAATCCAAAGATATGATTTTTGAATGAAATACAAAAAATGTTAATATGCCACTCGTCTCGGAGACTTGACTCGGCAAATCATAGCCTTACAAAGTGAGTTACGCGGTGTTACGTGTGGAAACACATATCAAAATATTCTCCCATAAATTCTGCATTGGAATCAACTCTTATCTTTTGCCCAATTTTGCCCAAACAGCTACTACGAGACATCTAAGCAGAAGATGTCGCGTGGCTTCCAGCGCTCCGCCGCGCTGCCCGGCGCCGCGGCGGTCAGCTGACTGCGGTGTACCGCCGCAGAGGTTACGTGTGGAAACACATATCAAAATATTCTCCCATAAATTCTGCATTGGAATAAACTCTTATCTTTTGCCCAATTTTGCCCAAACAGCTACTACGAGACATCAAAGCAGAAGATGTCGCGTGGCTTCCAGCGCTCCGCCGCGCTGCCCGGCGCCGCGGCGATCAGCTGACTGCGGCGTACCGCCGCAGGAGTAATGTCGTGCTAGGAGGGGCAAAGTCCCCACAGTGCGCCGGCGTCAGGCTGATTAATGAAAATGAAACGGAGCGGTAGTACGGCTCAGTGGCCAGAGTAAGATCCACCGCCAAAGTCGGGGCAGTTAAATTTTGGAATAATTGAAAGGCAATGTGGCGGTGTTGAAATCAGGTAAATGTGCTTGAGTTACATAGTGCATAATCTGTAACCGGTCACCAAACTAACTGTCGGTTGCAGCTGGCGCAGAACACCTAGTCTCCAGCTGTAGGCGCCAGCATTGCAAGACAAATGTGGCATGGAGATTATCCCATATGCCATAAGACTATTGTATGCTGGGCGGTAGCCAGCGATATTGGATAATAATGTATATGATACAGAACAGTACAGATACAGAACGTGTTGAACAAATCGTCTCATCTCAGGCGACCGGTCCCTGGACGTTGTAGTTCAGCAGTTGGCCGGTGGCGGCGCTGAGGTCGCCCGGTCGGCGGCGGCGGGCTGCCCCCTCAGTGGAGGGTGCACGCCCCCATGGCCCGGCCGTGCTCCGTCAGTGCCGTGCTCCTGCTGACCGTGGCCGTAGGAGTGGCGGGCTACGGCCGACTACGGCCCTCGCAGAACGGACGCCTCTTCCATGGAGTTCACTTTGTCTACGAGGGAAAGGTATTTCGCGACGTTACTGGAGATTAATTTTTTAATTCACTCATGTGACAAATCTTGCCTGTTTTTGGCTGGACGCTTTTCAGTCAAACTATTGAAGGACCACAAAGGATGACGGATGAGAGGATAAAGGAGAGGCGCAGTGAACTGATTCGACCACCGACTGGTGCGCCACAGCAGCTCAGCCCGGCTCATGAGACAGACGTTCGACAATGGGACAGACAGCCCAACCATGTGCTCTATAAACAGTCATCAGGGCAAGAGTAACAATGTTCTTATCAAAGCTGTCCTCAGCAGCTGCCTAAGTGGGGCGACCGTCAGCCGCGGACAGGAAACCTTGAAGGAGGGACTAAGTTGACGAATAAATTTATCATCAGTCATTTGATTTTATCAATTTTGTCCCTTTTAAATCTATGAACTTAAGTCAGACGATGTCCGGCTGGTGCTTGGAATGAGAGGGATGAATGGGTAGGTGTTTGTATATTACCTTGGTTTCATCCTTGTAGTTTTAAGCAGCACGAACCCGCCAGAGGACCGTGAGCAAAACAATGTCGGCTTATCAGGCGCAATAACGGATTCAATTGTCATTTAGGGCCATGTCATTGACATTACATAGAAAACATTCAGAGTCGCGCGATTGGCCCTCGTCGCTAATTTAGTACCCAACTTCTCGAGATGTGTTTGTTTGTTTGTTTGTTTTGTTGGGTTAGGCCCTTTCGGTCCAATGGGACCATTTCAGAGCCGGGAGAATAATAGGATATAGGTGGAGACATTGGTCTGGGCAGGCACCCTAGTGAGTCGCCGGGGCTGAGCCCGTCCAGAGGACAGGCCACCCAGCCCCAAGGCACTCACTGCACCCGGCTACGGGATGCGCTCCCTCGGGAGCAGCGATGCCGCTCCAAGGGAGCAGCCCGCATGAGATAAAGTTGCCTGTCCAGCCCGGAGGGGGTTGCGGCGTGGAGGAGAAGGACTTCAGTATCCTGGGGATAGAAGCACGGAACGGTGTGTTGAGATGTGTCGGACCCTCTCCTCTGCAACTGTCAGTAGTCGGACTTTCGTCCCCGTCTTGAGTTTGAATGTTAGCTTCACAACGTTTCGGCCGGACAAGTAACTGGTCGAAACGTTGTGAAGCTAATATTCCAATCCAATTGACGGAGACGAGAGTCCGGCTTCTTATATGAAACTAGCCCAGTGACTACTACATATGTATATTACAAATGCTATTTTTATAGCATCTGTAATGCATACTAACACCACGCCTCGGCCATGAGATGATTCTAACTCTCCTCAACAGCTTCATTGCTGCTGCCGTCACAACTGTTGTCCATACCTAAGTAGGCTCTCTCCCGAAAAACGCGTGGATGGATTCGCTTTGACGATTGGCGAACATCAGCCCAAGGCATGCCCATAAGAATAAGCAATCATTTAGGCATGTGACGACCTCATATTTGGTGATATTTCATTATACTATCATGACATTTCCATTCATAGACCCATGTATTTATCGTTACAATAAAGCCTTAGGAGGAATTGTAACGCGAAAATCGTTAATTGGCATTTGGAGCAAGCAATGTTTTGTTTATATCATTAACCGTCTAATCAAAGAGAGGCACTAATTTCAAAAGCGACTGGATGAACTCGCCTTTCTGTTCAGTGATTAACGACGTATCCCACAAACACCGTCCTGGGTCAACATCGTAACCAATGATGAATGAATAACATCCAACAGCATGTCGCTCCACTTTGTATCCCGGTCTGTGTAAACGGCACAGTCGCGAGGGGAGATCACTCAGAAATGACTCACCGCGAGAGCTGGAAATACCGAAACGTGGGTTAATAACTAAGCTGAAGAGTGAAGACTTGTGGACGGTGAGCTGGTGCCGTCTCCTGTTAAGCCGGGTAACCTATCACCGTACAGACAACCCGCGAAAGTGACCTGCCGTCGTGGTATGTTACACACAGTGACCTGCCGCCATGTTTTGCCAGACCCGATGACCTGCCGTCGTGGTATGGTACACCCACTGAACTGCTTCTGAATTCTGTTTCAGACAACCCGCGAGAGTGACCTACCGCCCAGTTTTGTTACAGACGACCCGCAAGATCAGGACCTGCCGCAGTGTTTTGTTAGACCCGGTGACCTGCCGCCATGTTCTGTTTCAGACGACCCGCGAGAGTGACCTGCCGGGTGTTCTTATACGGTGACCTGCCTCTGTGTTCTGTTTCAGACGACCCGCGAGAGTGACCTGCCGCCATGCCCCTCGGCTGCCTCCGTCTGCAGTCTGGTACACAGACGTTTCTGGCAGCCGGAGCTGTCACAGCGCCTGTGCCGCTGCTCTGACGGCCAGTGTCCCTACGAGTACAGCAACAGTACGGACGAGAGAACCCTGCAGCTCAATAACCGGATACAGCTGAAGGTGAGGGCTGCAGTCTACTCGCATGCGACAGTGGGGGAGACATGGGCCGGGTTGGAGATGAATATATTTCAGCAACAGCGGCAGACGGCACCGTGCTTCAAGCCATTGCATGGGTGAAACTTTGATATTACCGGTGTGGCCCTAAAAGTTCAAGAAGTCCTGCCTTCCAAGAAGGAATAACATGGTGTGTCAAAAGTGGAAATAGCCGGTGCGCCGTCTGGCAACCCGGCAGCCCGCCGCCATAGGGAAATTCATGCTTTTTGTCGCTTTTTCGCTCCTTGTGAGTCACCTGATCTAATTAGAGCTTAACTAGGAACGAGGCGGGTCACTTGGACGTATTCGGGAGCCGAATACGGTGTTTTGGAGCCAATACCTGGGAAACCCTACCCGCCCAATGCGATTTTCTAAGAGTCTGCATGCCCAAATTAACGTTGAGCGCGGCCGTTTTCGGTCGGTTTTCCGCGACCTTGTGGCGAAGTCGCCTTATTTATTCAATCAGGGTGGGCTAATTCGCTTAACTAGGAATGAGGCGTTGAAGAGAATTATTCAAGGAATAGAGCTGTGCAAAAATATTTTTTGTATTGTCAAAACTGTATCCGCCCTCGAACGATAAATATTGTTGACCCATCAGAAACATATCCCCTGGAATGCGTTTGGACTTGGCTGGATCTAATATTAGCGAGTATCTGCTAATGCAGTTTCTTGGCTTACACAGTACGCACACAAGCATACATACTTCCTGCCCTTGGTTATTCCTCACTTGAATGAAAATTTTGCTATAATAACTATTCCAAGCAGTTAACAGGTTTTAGTGCAGTGTCAAGTCGGAACCGTTCAGCGCCGCCAGTCTCCCAGGCGGCGCGTAACGGGCGGCGCCGCCGGCCGCCGCGCCGCCGCTCTGGCAGGGTGTTTGACTTCATATCTCTGTCGCTAGAAAAGTTGTGGACCGATTTACTTGATTCTTGCATGAAAAGATCCGCCATTAAATTCTTAGCAGATAACGAAAATTTGACGTCAATTGCACGATCTGCTGCCCATATTGTGGTACTGCCATCTATTGACAAGGCTGGCGAACTAAAGCCGGGCGGCTATTTCCACTTTTGACACACCATGAAGAAGCAACCAAATGCCTCCAATTGTATAAATGTCCTTCATGAGAACACTATATAGACTGAAATGTCTGTCAAAGCCAGTTTCTTGGGGCGTATGTTCGTCAATTAGATTTGGGAGTGATTAGATGGTAAAAAATCAAACTTGCTACATTTTATAAACGTGTAAACGATAACGGTACACATCGTTGTCTATCGTTATCGCTATCGAGAAATAATATAACTTTTGAGCGAGGCCAATATTTACAAATCGGTGAACGTCTACGAAACTCGCCTACGACCACGATCCACGAACTCATGCATTCATCAGCTTTTCTTTCGTCAAGTTTTCATTTCTTAGGGCTCCGGTGATAAGTTTGCCAGGCTGCAGATGTGCGCAGCGCCAACTGGGCAGCAGCAGCACTCGCAGTCCTGCACAATCCTATCACATTGTCCCGAATCCTATCCGTATTCCGTATCCTTGCCATAGTATTTTATGTTCCTCCTCATATTCACCTCAGCTGAAAAGTCACGATGTTTGTGGATGTTCTTGTGATAAGTATCGATTGGTGATTGTCATTCCCAATGTCTAAAAGGTCATACAGGCCTGTGATTTCGCCAGTATGCTCCAGCGTGACGCCACAGTCGGACAGTTGTGACGTCACCAAATCACCGTCCTGTCGTCACGCCATTCGTTACAGCGCGTCGCGCCGTGTCACGTTATTGGGCCGCCAATCTCACGGCTGGCACCATATCAAGCTCCCAGCGGGCGATGCGGCCCACCCCGACACCGGCTTACGATCTGTTTATTATACAATATACATATCTCGCCCGTTGGCAGTTTCTGTTCGTCAAGACAGATTTAACATAAGAAAAGAGGCATCAAGCGTTCTGCTAATGTAGACATAGACTGTTTCCGAGGACTGATAAAAACAAACAAAAAAACAATGACATTTAATGACAAAAACTGTATCAATTCCATTGGCAGAAGTTGATAAAATATTTGAGTTTTTGCAAACATTCTAGAGAAGTATTTCAAGTTTCCATCATTCGTTTTACATTTAAATTTTTTTAGGGACTGCAAAAATTTCATGTTAATGAAATGTTAGGAAAATAAATCACCATTAATATTCAAGGTAAACTATGGTGGCGGGCACACATATTTACCCAACTATGCCGTCCTACATGCTGTCTGTTCTGTGCACCTCTCATTTGCCTGTCGATTTAACCGTTTTCGGAAGGCTGTGGTGCCGTAGAAATTTATATTGTAAAACACGGAAAACCTAATTGATTCTGAAAATTTGCTTATAGACGATGAACTTGCCTCCACTCACACGGTCTTGGACGTGCCTTTGGTGGTAACTGGCAAACGTCGTTCAGCAAACGTCCCCGCCTCTCGTGGCGTCACCCCATGCTAGTCAAATAACAGCTTTGGTATTAAATAACATCGTCCCTCGCCAAGTTCACGTCGGGCCCACACCAGGTGGATGTTTCACAAGCTGTCAGCAAACTATTCAGCATAGCATTGTGCACGAGTTAGCCGGCAGCTGTCAACCAGGCGTCGTATCACTTATTCCAGGTTTAATGAACTTTGTGGGGAAAAGGATATCTAGGTAATTATTAACCTATGTAGACTAGGTTAATAAGCTGTGGTTCGGTACAGAGCACTGGGCCGTATCATATTGTTACTCCTTTCTTTTCGCACAGCTCTATGGGCTCATCGCGTACATCTGACACTGCCTCCCCATGTACAGGTCTCGCGGGTTTTAGCGGTAGGTTTTGCACCTAGAAAATTTAGTGTACTTCAGGCTATATCTTCGTCGTCTTAAGCTTTTAAGTGTTGAAGATGCGATCGACTTGTTGGGTAACAAGCCGGCCATGATCGTGTAAAATGGCTTCATCGTAGATCGATTAGTTTCTGAGATATAATCGGAAATGTTAAAGTGCAAAACCTACCGCTTAATCTCGCGAGACCTGTACATAGACCGATGCATCCCAGCACTTCCTTGGACCGACACAGCCATGAGTGCTGACCTCCCCTTTCCCCGCAGTTTTGTGGCCCGGTGCGCAGTCTGCGCCGCTGCGGGCCGCACCCGGCCATCGCCGCCGTTCTGGAGCGGCGTACCGACGCTGGCCCTCTGCGGCTCGACCACGAGCGCAAGGACGTGAAGGTCAACTGTTCGTGTCCGTACCCGAGCCGGTACCAGAAGGTATCGGAGTGGGGCGGTGGCGGCAGCACAGAGGTCACCGCCTATACCTGCCGGCAGGTGAGAGCGGCACGCGGGTCCACCTCATGGAGGGGGTACTGGACTGGACGAACACACTCAGCGGCTAGCGCGTCCGTCAGATCCCGAAGTATGAAGTGTAAAGGTGCCTTAGTTTGAGCAAATTAAAGATCGATCTGGCCTGTGACGTCTTGAACAACCTTGAGGTGAATTGAATTTAACGTGATTTCAAAAACTAGGAGGAAACTTTTATTCAGTCAAGTTAGAAACTTATTCCATTACAAACTTCTGGCATCATTCATAACATAGGTTGGAGACATTGGAACTGAGCGGCCCAGTCTGATGTGCGCCACCGCGGCAGAAACCGTCCCGATGGGACTGTCCCGTTACGGAGACCACCCGCCCTGCCACTCAGACGGTGACCCCGGAGAGGGCGTACTCGTTATGACATTGCCCTCGCCACCGCGACTGGCTGTCCGGTGGTAGTGACCGCCATTCCGCGCAAGGTAGCGTGCGTAAAGACACGGGAGCGCTGGTTCTGAGAATTACGAGGACGGATATATCGGAGATACAAGGTGGCTAACAGTGAAGAGTGCTCCCCAGTGAGCAGTATTTTTGGAAAATATCCCAGTCAGGCGCAGTTCAAAACTTTTAAATTGCTCATTTTGACGCATTTATAAAACATAATTTGTAATAACAGATGAAAAACAAAACGGGTTAAAAACAAAGAATAACGGATTCTTGTGTATCGTATATTTCGACCGACAACCTTTCCCTTCGCAGTGACATTGACTGCCTCTGTATATTATCAGAAGCCATTGGAGGACTTAACCCTGTCCAAAGCCGGTCACCCTGACTGTCCCCTGAGTCCCATCCTCACAGACAGGTCTCAGCCAAACGTCAAACAGTGGTCGCTACCGCATCCCTGTGGGCCCATATCTCACACCCAGAGGGTTCGAAAGTGGCAGCGGCGCCTGCCTGCGGCGCTGGACCGCTCTGGTCACTGGTCTTCTGGACAGACGGCAGCGCGGGCCGCCGCCAACACCAACACTCCACCGATCGCCGCCAATAGGAAGATGCCGGGTTCCGGGCGAGCCGACGAGCCGTCTGACATCTCTATCAGGGCGCGAATGGCGGGGCAGTGGGCACAGACGAGATCGGCGGGAGTCGGGACTAGTGGCGTCAATTTCAGAAAACGTATGTCCAAAGTCCGTCCAATGTCCAATGTTTGCGTCGATTGTCCGTCCAAAAATGTCCAAGCCAGCCATTTGTCCAAAGCTGTCCGACACCTACGCAATAGTTTACACTCAGTGTTATTTAATTTGCTTTTCATGTACCGTTACAAGCTCAAAAGTTTTAATCATATCGAAAGCTGAGCTTTCTAATAGCCAATCAATGTTAAACACGACTACTGTTAAAAAAATGTTGAGGTGTAGCAAGCGATTGTCCAAAGTTGTCCAAAGCCTGCTGCCATTGTCCAACCGAATTCCGAATTGGACATTGGACAAAATCGGAATTCCGAAGATTCAAGTTCCGATTGACACCACTAGTCGGGACACAGAATGATATAGGGCGACAAGACGGTGAGATGGGAGCGAAATCAGGGCGAAAATAATAAAAACAGACTTACAGTTAGGAAGTAGCGGCGATGGGAAATGGGTAATAATAAGCTGTCAACGTAAATAAAAGCAAAGTAGTAAGTCAGCGATTGATCTAATCATCTACTTGGCGTGTAGAAAATACAGGTCAAGTGAAACGTCAATTCGAATCATGGTGTCGCGTTGAACGGCTAGTCATTGTTCTAGTAAGTAGCTATGCGGATATTGTTGAGAGTAATGTGCGCGCTCTAAAACTAGCTGCTACATCTAGTGTAATTTTTAGGATACTTTGGCAGTATAACTTCTTTAGATCCCAGCGGTAATCTGCGCTCTCTTTGGAGTGAGAGCTGCGTGGCGGGGCGCCGCCACTGGACCCGTAGACCAGCTGGGCGCAGCCGGTGGCCGCCGCGGGGGCTATCGGCCTCCACAGGAAGCTGTTGGTCTCCCGTGGGGGCTGTGGCAGTGCCCTGTCGGCGGTGCGGCACAGTCGACAGTCCCGTCGCCATCGGCAGCGGCACTAGAGCTGGCGGCGGACCGTCACATTAGACCGTGCGGCGGTCGGCGATGCCAGCGACGCGCAGCCCGGGTTAATGACGACCGGTGTCGGTCACAGCGCCGTGCGACACCGTCACGGCCAGCGGGTGACTCCCCGGTTGCTGACGGGTGATTGATTGGGCCACTGATGCTGCGGAGATAGCTGCCGACGAGCGGCCCGCGACATTCCGCCCGCTAGGGAGCGTCACGGTGCTAGTCTGATCGTTCGAGTGCAAGAGAATGAAGTTTCAATCAACCCACATCTCGCTAGGGATCGGAGTAATGCATCCTCCATCTGTCGGAAAAAGTTGTGGCGTGTGCAGTTTTATCTGTTTCTCTGCACGCGGAGGAGTTAATTAAACCGTCTGTCGCGGCGGTGTGAGTGGCACTCTGTCGTGTCTTTTTCATCAGCGCTGACTGTTAGTTGGACGGGATCCTTGAGTCTGTGGACAGGAGGACGGAATTGGTGACCCCTCCATACCCCCACCCCACCAGCGCCACCATTACCACCAGCACGGCCTGGATAGCCCCGCAACGCTATGACACGATGACACACGCTTCTCGAGAGGAACAGTAGTCGCTGCCAGTGTTTGTCTTATCATAAATATGTACTAGAGGGACAGCATTACGCGCAGCGTAATAAATCAATTTTCATTAAAATCGGCCCAGTAGCGGCCGAGTTATGGCCAGGATAAATTTGGCGTCTCCTCCTGGCCGGCGGTGCCCTGTTCCGGTATTCATTGGCAAAGGTCAGTGACCTGCCGGCTCGGATTTCGCTCAGTGTTGCAAGCGAAGAAACTGAGCCTAAGGCGCGTGCCGTCAGCTCGAAACCGGCCGCGGCCGAAAATGTTGCCAAGATGCGCCCGCCACGTGCACACCGCTGCACGCACCCCTTCGAAAAGTTGATACGACAAACAGATGCACGCGTCCGACTTACGTTCAAAATTTCACCCCCGTAGCTCACACCGTTCCACAGCAATAGCCCACCAAGCGTGACTGACGCGTCACATACATACATACATACATACGGACGTTTTGATTTTTATATATGTAAACTAGAGGGACAGCATTACGCGCAGCGTAAAGAGGGACAACATTACGTGCAGCGTAATAAATCAAGTTTCAATAAAATCGGCCCAGTAGCGGCCGAGTTATGGCTTGAATAAATTTGGCGACTCCTCCTGGCCGGCGGTGCTCTGTTCCGGTATTCATTGCCAAAGGTCAGTGACTTTCCGGCTCTGATTTTGCTCAGTTTTGCAAGCGAAGAAGCTGAGCCTAAGGCGCGTGCTCTCTGCTCGAAGCCGGCCGCGGCCCAAAATGCTGCAAAGATGCGCCCGCCACGTGCACACCGCTGCACGCACCCCCTCGAAAAGTTGATACGACAAACAGATGCACGCGTCCGACCTGTGTCGAAAATTTCACCCCCGTAGCTCGCACCGTTCCGGAGCAATAGCCCGCCAAGCGTGACGGACGCGTCACATACATACATACATACATACATACATACATACATACGGACATTTTGATTTTTATATATGTAAACTAGAGGGACAGCATTACGCGCAGCGTAATAAATCAATTTTCATTAAAATCGGCCCAGTAACGGCCGAGTTATTGCCAGAATAAATTTGGCGTCTCCTCCTGGCCGGCGGTGCTCTGTTCCGGTATTCATTGCCAAAGGTCAGTGACCTTCCGGCTCTGATTTCCCTCAGTTTTGCAGCGAAGAAACTGAGCCTAAGGCGCGTGCTCTCTGCTCGGCGCCGGCCGCGGCCCAAAATCCCGCAAAGATGCGCCCGCCACGTGCAAACCGGCGAGCGCACCCCCACCAAAATTTAATACAACAAACAGATGCACGCGTCCGACTCGGCGCGAAAATTTCACCTCCGTAGCCCGCACCGTTCCCGAGCAATAGCCCGCCAAGCGTGACTGACGCGTTACATACATACATACATACATACATACGTACAGACATTTTGATTTTTATCTATACTAGAGGGACAGCATTACGCGCAGCGTAAAGAGGGACAGCATTTCGCGCAGTGTAATGAATCAATTTTCATTAAAATCGGCCCAGTAGCGGCCGAGTTATTACCAGAATAAATTTGGCGTCTCCTCCTGGCCGGCGGTGCTCTGTTCCGGTATTCATTGCCAAAGGTCAGTGACCTTCCGGCTCTGATTTCGCTCAGTTTGGCAAGCGAAGAAACTGAGGCTAATGCGCGTGCTCTCTGATCGGCGCCGGCCGCGGCCCAAAATGCCGCAAAGATGCGCCCGCCACGTGCAAACCACCGAACCCACCCCCACCAAAATTTAATACGACAAACAGATGCACGCGTCCGACTTCTGTCCAAAATTTCACCCCCGTAGCCCGCACCGTTCCACAGTAATAGCCCGCCAAGCGTGACTGACGCGTTACATACATACATACATACGTACAGACATTTTGATTTTTATATATGTGAATTATAAATCCTAAAAAGTCCGCCGCCGTCGGGGTAACTCCCAAAATGGCTTATTACGGCGCCGTCGATTGACGCAGGAGGGTGAAATTTTTACCAGTTGTGGGTCACGTAATAAAACAGGTCGTATTAAATTTTGGGCACGATGCGGCCGGGGGTGCGCCCGTGGCGCGTGCTCACGTGGTGTGCCATAGGGTTTACACTAGAATCGGCAACAGGCTATTGCTCGGGAACGGTAAGGGCTACGGGGGTGAAATTTTCGCTGTAAGTCGGACGCGTGCACTCAATTGTCGTATTAAATTTTCGAGGGTGTGGGTTCATCGGTGTGCACTAGGGGTACCCATTTTTGAGTCAATTTTCCAAATTTTAGGTGGGGGTGGATTTTCCCATTATTTGGTCTATTCTGATTCCATCTGTGCCAAAAATAGCGAAATCAAACGATTTCTAGGGGTCG